TTAAAGCAAAGGACACTCTCAGTAAGACAAAAAGACTACCTTCTGACTGAGAGAAAATCTTCACCAACCCCTCATCAGACAAAGGTCTGATCTCCAAAATATACAAACAACTCAAGAAACTAGACACTAAAACTCTAATTAACCCAATTAAAAAATGGGGTACTGAACTGAACAGAGAATTCTCAATAGAAGAAATTCGAATGGCCAAAAGACACTTAAGGTCATGCTCAACCTTCTTAGAGATCAGGGAAATGCAAATCAAAACAACTTTGAGATACCATCTTACACCTGTCAGAGTCGCTAAACTCAAAAACACCAATGATAGACTATGCTGGAGAGGATGTGGAATGAGGGATTACTGGTGGGAACGCAAACTTGTGCAGCCACTGTGGAAATCAGTGTGGTGGTTTCTCAGGAAACTGGGAGTAAACCTACCTCAGGACCCAGCAATTCCACTCTTGGGAATATACCCAACAGATGCCCTATCATACCACAAAAGCATTTTTTCAACTATGTTCATACCAGCACTATTTGTAACAGCCAGAACCTGGAAACAACCTAGGTGCCCCTCAATAGAAGAATGGTTAAAGAAGGTGTGGAACATATACACATTAGAGTTTTACTCAGCGGTAAAAAACAATGACATCTTGAATTTTGCATGCAAATGGATGGAAATAACTTCTTTCTTAAAATTTCTTCCTTGACCCAAGGATTGGTTCAGTAGTTGACTGTTCAATTTCCTTTAGTTTGTAGGCTTTTTGGGAGTAGTACTGTTGTTAAACTCTAACTTTCTTCCATGGTGATCTGATAAGACACAGGGATTACTCCTTTATTTTTTTGTTTCTGTGGAGGTTTGATTTGTTACCGAGCATGTGATTAATTTTAGAGAAGGTTTCATGAGGTGCTGAGAAGAAGGTATTTTCTTTTATGTTTGGGTGGAATGTTCTATAGATGTCTGTTTAGTCCATTTGATTCATGACATCTGTTAATTCTTTCATTTCTCTGTTAAGTTTCTGTCTGGTTGACCTGTCCATTAGCAAGAGAGGAGGGTTAAAGTCTTCTAGTATTATTCGAGGTTTGATGTGTGATTTAAGTTTAAGTAATGTTTCTTTTACATAAGTGGGTGCTCTTGTATTAGGGGCATAGATGTTCAGGATTGAGACAGCATCTTGATAAATTGCAGCTTTTATGAGTATATAGTGTCCTTCTCCGTCTCTTCTGATTGATTTTAGTTTGAAATCATCTTTCTTAGATATTAGGATAGCCACACCAGTTTGTTTCTTAGGTCCAATTGATTGGAAAGCATTTTCTCAACCCTTTATTCTGAGGTAGTGTCTGTCTTTGAGGTTGAGGTGTGTTTCTTGTATATAGAAGGCTGGATCCTGTGTTTTGTATCCATTCTCTTAGCCTGTGGTTTTTTATAGTGAATGGTGAATTGAGTCAATTGATATTAAATAGTATTAATGACCAGTGGTTGCTAATTCTGGTTATTTATTGGTAGTAATGCTTGTGTATTTCCATTCTTTGGGTTATGCTGATGGGGGGGGGTTATCAGATTCCTGTGTTTTTGTTGGTGCAGTTAGCTTCCTTGGGCTGGGGTTTTCCTTCTAGTAATTTCTATAAGGCTGGGCTTGTGGATACATATTATTTAAATCTGTTTTTGTCATGGAATATCTTGCTTTTTTCCATCGATGATGGATGAAAGCTTTGCTGGGTATAGTAGTCTTGGCTTGCATGTGTGGTCTCTTAGTGTCTGCAGCACATCTATCCAAGACCTTCTGGCTTTCATGGTTTCCATTGAGAAGTAAGGTGTAATTTTGATAGGATTACCTTTATGTTACCTGACCTTTTACCTTTGTAGCTCTTAATATTCTTTTTTATTCGCTATGTTTTGTGTTTTGATTATTATATGGTGAGGGGAATTTTTATCCAGTCTATTTGTTGTTCTATAAGATACTTTTACCTTCATAGGCATATCCTTCTTTAGGTTGAAAAACTTTTCTTCTATGATTTTATTAAATATTTTTCTGTGCCTTTGAGCTGGAGTTCTTCTCCCTCAAATGAGGCCAGCAGTGTCCTTGTGTCCTGGTCCAATCCTTGCAGTGGCTGTCTGGGTGTTTGGGAGTTTTTCTTGGTCTGCTCTGTACTGTCCATGTCTATCTCAGAAAGCCTCTGGGGTCTCTGTATGCCTGCTTTCTTGGTCTCCTGGTTTGCTTTCTTTGTGTTTTCTCTTAATTGCTTCAGTCTTGTAGCAAGCTCTTTGTCTCCCCAGTATTATGGCAAGTTTTCAGCTCTTAGGTGGGTGTGGCTAGTAGCTTGGGGGGAAGGGGTCCAGTGGATGGGTTTGGGTTTGGAGGGAGCCTAGCTGCAGAAAACTCCCTGCTGACTGTCTAGAAAAGTAGAGCCATATGTGTTCTTTTAATTATTTGTAGCAACTGAATTAACTGATCAGAAAATAAATTATTCAATCCTTTAGTCACATTTTGTACCTGACTAAAGGTAAAAAGCACCCCATGCAAAACTTGCCTTTATTTTCTCCAGAATATACATAAGAAAATATTAAAATAGATTTAAACCCAATACTAGAAAAATTAGAAGCAAAATTTATACCGACATAAAAATGGTTCTTATATTAATGTCACAATACACTGCTAATAGTTAAGAGCAAATGGGCCGCTATTAATCTCAATACAATTGCAGACATGGAAGCATAAGAAAAAACAATGAATTAAATGTGTTTATTAATTAACAAGGGCAGTATCAGAAAAAGCATTTCTGTTATCTCAACATCTATTATTTACTTGGCTCCCACAGAAACTGAGCCTATCTAGGATTTGCAGTTTCATTAAATATTTTCTAATACAATCTTATGAGTCAAAATCAAAACAACCAAGATTATGTTATAAAATTTGATACAGATGTATAGAATTTTTTTGTTATTTACTTTCATCATTGATGTCACTAAATATCTAACAAGATGTTATTTGAGATTATTTATTTTAAGGATAGTCCAACATGGAAGAGTGTGTGTGACAATAGAGTACCCACATATGTTCATAAGTAAGCAGGGAAAGGGAGATGGCAGTGGTGAGAGTGCTTCCTCTTTTCAGTTTTTCAGTTAGTTAGAGACAAAAGACCCCAGGAATGTACTTTAGGTTGAATCTTCCCTCCACAGTTAAAACCCTCTCAATATGTTCTGAAAGGAAAATCCAGGGTTATATCTTAATGTTTCCACATTCAGTCAAGTTGACAATAAAGTGGATTCATGAAGGTGATAAAATGTGTTACACCATGAGCAAATAACACATTTTAAGGAATCAATACATTCAGATAGTCAAAATCAATGCCAAATATAGCAACACAATGTCTTTCCCCTTGATTACCTTGCCTCGTACATTTTTGTATCTATATACTTTTGTATTATACTAAAACACATAGTTACATTTGAGAACAAATCGATAATATCAATTTCTGCAAGTAGACCTTTTCTCATTCATCATATAAGAAGTAACAAATTCTCATATTAGAAAGGCAAATGTTAGTTGGGACAAGTGTATACATGCTTGCAGGTATCCATATAGTGTACTAGGGAAACGGTATCTGCTTTAACCTGTAAAAAATTTATCACTAAGCAAGAGATGGTCTATGCTTCTGTGTCTCTTGCTTCATCCTGAGATACAACAGTTTCATTTTCTCTGTCCTCTGGAAAATGAAGGAAAACCTAGTCTAAATATGCATTCACTGTATGAGAATAACCCTTATTCATTATTCCAAAATATTCCTTAAGTCAGGCATGCTTTTTTAAAAAAGAAAAAAGCTATCAATATTTATATTTTCAATGTGTAAGTTCTTAGAGAGGTACAGTTTTCTTCAGCCATGTTGGCTTTGTTGGATTGCTTGTGTTCCAGTGTATGTATATCTCTACATTCATGCTTATTCTGAAATTGCCTATGGAATTCAGTGGGTTTAAAACAAGAGTGCATGAAGTTTACAAGAGTAGGAAAAGAAGTTCAGGGAAGGCAAGGAGCATATTTAACAGAGAGATATTAAACATGGCTATGAAATTCTTAAATAATGCTTAAAAGTCTTAATACATATTGATGAATTTCAAATATCTTACAAACATCTCAAAATACCATGTGTAATAACGAATGAAAATCTTATCAAGAAAAAATGAACAGAAAGACACTCTTAGACAATGATTTGCAACAGTGTTGTCTTCATAGATTGCCCATGTCTACTTTTTTGATTCACAGACCTAGGTCCAAGATGGTGATTGGAGTGTGCACAAGAAATAGAACATGCACACACACACACACACACAAACACACACACACACACAGACACACACACTGGCTCAAATTAGAAACTCTACTTCACAACCCATTTCTTGACAACTTGAAAGAAACTCTGCTTAGAGGATTAAAACTGTGTGTAAATAGCAGCTGAGCAAGAGTTCATGCTGTTTCCCAGAGGTTCACTTTCTAGAACTATATTTGAGCAACTCAAAACCACCATAGTTTCTGTTCATGGAAATCTGAAGCCATCTTCTGGCATCAGGGGTTAGTTGCACACATGTAGCATGTATATCTGTGTGTGTGCCTGTGCACACACATGCACATGAACATGTAAATAAAAGCAGAACTATAATGGGTTAGAGAAACTTCTCACTGGTTATACAAGTGCCTCCTTCTCTAGAGACCCTAGATTCAATCCTACGTGGAAGGTAAAAACATTTATAGCTTTAACGTCAAGTGATCTGACACTCTCTTCTGGCTTATATGGACACTATTCATGTATGTGATACACTTACATACACATACCTGAAACACCCAAACACATAGAATAAGATAGAATTACATTAAAATTAAATTCAGTGTCCAATTTTTAGAAATTAAAATCAAAGAAAGACAGGTGAAAAGAAGAGATAGCTCATATATTGACTCAGTCGCAATCCTGTCTTTTTGACTCTAGAAACACAAGGCGAAGTTTCACCAATAATCACAGAAGAGAAGTTATTCTAGCAATAACTTTCTTCAATGCCTCCTTCATATCCCTGTTCCTCAAACTATAGATAAAGGGATTCATCATTGGAGGAACTATGGAGTACATCACTGAAGCCACTGCGGTCTCCCTGGGTGAATCAATTACCTTTGAGGTAATGTATACACCAAAACCTGTCCCATAGAACAAGCAAACAACTGACAAATGAGACCCACAAGTGGAAAAGGCTTTGTATTTTCCTTCTGATGATGGCATTTTCAATACTGTAGATACAATGTGAATATACGAGAAAATTATTTCAAACAGAGGTATGCCAGCAAAAATAGAAGCCGTAGCAAATATCAGGATATTGTTAATGAGGCTGTCAGAACAGGCCAGTTTGATGACTTGTGCGATTTCACAGAAGAAGTGGAAGATTTCCAGGTCAGTGCAAAAGGACAAGTGCAGCATCATCAGACTATGCAACAGACCATTCACAATGCTAATGAATAGAGAGATAAGAACTAGAATAATACAAAAGCAGGGGTTCATCAGTACTGTGTATCTTAGAGGGTAACAAATGGCTACATAGCGGTCATAGGCCATTACTCCAAGCAGAAAACACTCAAAGATGGTACAAACTGCAACAAAGAAGCCCTGGCTAAGGCAGCCTGCATAAGTGATCCTCTGATCCTGTGTTTGTATGTTCACCAGCATCTTTGGAACTGTGATGCTGACTAAATACATGTCATTAAAAGACAGATGACAGAGAAATAAGTACATGGGGGTATGAAGATGGGAGTCACAATAGATAGCCAACACTATAAGAATATTTCCAAAGATTGTGATCAGGTACATGACTAGAAAAAGGCCAAAGATGAGAGACTCCAGCTCTGTATCGTCTGTCAGTCCATGCAGAAAAAATTCAGAAGGCACAGATTTGTTTTCAATGTTCATGATATACGTGAATCTTAAGGAGAAAGAGTGGTAAGAAGTTACTGAAACACATGAACTACAAGCAGTATTATTAAAGGAGATTTGTTAGAAAACCATCTTATATGGGCCTTAGTCTTTCCAATTTAGCCACCAGGAATGGTAAGTGAGGAAACCACTTTCATTTCTACACCAACCAGTTTGCCCCACCTAGTTATGGCAATATATTTGCTTATATACACAAATCATCCTGCTCAACATCATCACAGAATGTATACACATGCCTGAATGCATATTAAGAGTTGCTGGATTTGAGAATGGAACTTTTTTCTGCTCTAAATGAAAGTGCAGCCCCCACTAAAATAAAATAAGAACAAAAGAATCACTTAGACTGAGTTTCAGGAGAAATATTCAGGGTAATCAATGATGGACTATGATGATAATAGGAGTTCAACTGTTTGGAATCCTTTCTAATCATTCTTTATATGCTGTTCTGACTTGCCAAGAAGGTCTTAAAGCACCTTCTTTATTTTCTATAAATTAGATGTAGGGTCCATATTTCTTGTCTATCATTAACAAGAATGATGTAAATAACTCACCTGTACATTGCAAATGGAACAACTCTCTCTTATAAATGCAAATAGACTACATGAAAGAATGGGTGCTTCATTAAAAATAAATTAAGTCAGAACCAATCTGAGATATTTCAAGACTTTTGAGGTGGTTTGGAGTAGGTCACAAACTGAATGCATTATTTCTTAATCTCTGGAGACTCAAGGTCCAAAGCTCCTCATTAGAACAACTACATAATTGTTATTCTAAACCCAGGAGTTCCAGTCCTTAAATATCAGTAATGGAAAGTTTTTGACACTTGATTCTCTGACCCTAAAACCACTTGAATGCAATTGAGTTTCCTCCCTCACTTTAGCATTGCATACATGAACTATACCACTGCCCTCGTAATATTCATATATTCTTTTTAAAGTTCTTCCAAAAATTGAATTTTTTTATCTTTTCCATTTTCTCTTTTAGCCTGGATCCTATTCTACTTTTTAAAAGTATGCTCTATTTATGTATACAAAAGTAAACCTGCCCAAGTTCCCATTTATCATAAAAACTTAAACAAGATTATCTTCCCTGTGCATCATAGGTGTAATAATTTTATTACAGTGAAGAGAATTTTTAATAGACTCAATAGTTTTGGCATTTTCATATGAACCCTTTGACAGACAACTTGGTTAGCTATAACTCATATATTGCACTGAGATTTCATCCACTGACAAGAACTGACTAATTTTGGCTCATTCTACCCTGTTGTTTGGTGATTCCTTTTAGTTTTCTTTTATATATGTGTATATTTTAGGAAGTTTCACTCTGCTAGGTTTCCACATAACCTCAAATATCTGTTAGTTTTAGCTGTCCCTCCCTGTATTCTCTCATTTGCCATCCCACCAGTCCCCACACTTCATTTGATCCTCCTGTTCCAGTCCCAAACTTCTTCATGTATCTATAACTCTCTACTCTATTTTCCCTTTCTTGGGAGGCCTTTTCATTTACTTTTCCATTTCTTCATACTTAACCTCTATGGTTATACTGATTGAATCCAACTAATAGTTGTTTTATCTTTGGAATAGTGTCTGTACCTTAGTCTATGCTCTTTCAGGCAGAAAACGTGACTTCACATTCACCAGCCTGCTTCTCTGGCAACAGCCCAGCGACTCAGGCAGCAGCCCAGGCAGGAAATGATTTTGCATAGGCACTGGCTCTGATACTTCTACTAAATGTAACTTTAATTAAATCTCGATCGTGTCATTTATAAATAAGACTTGAGATTCAAATGCGGGGTTCAAAACCTGAACAACTCAGAGAGGTTCAAGAGCACCTTTTGTCCTAAGAGTCACATGACTCCAAATCCCTCCTACTACACCTGATTCACCTATGTCATCCAGATGCCCTCCAGTGCTCTATGATTACTGTCTTTCTACTAGTTGCTGATTCAGTCTCTTGATCCAAGGCTAATTTTATTTAATTAACACAAATATAAACTCAAAGTTCACAGTGTGATTGAATATCTATTAACATTTCCCCCTTTTTGTCTAACCATAAACAGAAGGTTTTAACTCTAACACAGCAATACTATAGATAAATAGATAGATAGACAGATAGATAGATGATAGATAGATAGATAGATAGATAGATAGATAGATAGATAGACAGACAGATAGATAGATAGATAGCAATTATCATGCAAACATTACATTCAAAATATCCAGTCTATTTGCATTTGGCAAATTTAGAAAAACAACTCTATTATGTATCTTTGTTGAGTTCATCTAACCTAATTTCCAGATTATGGCTATTACAAATAATGCTGCTATAAACATAGTTGAACAAATGCTTTTGTAGTATGATTGAGTATCTTTTGGGTATATTCCCAAGAGTGGTGTTGCTGGGTCCTGAGGTAGTTTGATTCCCAGTTGTCTCGGAAACCACCATACTGATTTACAAAGTGGTTGCACAAGCTTGCTTTCACACCAGCAATGGATGAGTTTTCCTCTTACTTCACATCCTCTCCAGTATAAGCTATCATCAGTGTTTTTGATCTTAGCTATTCTGACAGGAGTAAGATGATATCTCAGAGTCGTTTTGATTTGCATTTCTCTAATAGCTAAGTAAGCTGAACATGTCCTTAAGTATGTTTTGGCCATTTGAAATTCTTCTGCTGAGAATTCTCTGTTTAGCTCAGTACAACACTTTTTAATTGGCTTATTTAGAATTTTAATTTTTAATTTCTTGAGACCTTTATATATTTTGAAGATAAGTTCTTTATCTGATATGGGGTTGATGAGGACTTTTTTCCATTCAGTAGGCTGCCTATTTGTCTTATTAACTGTGTCGTTTAATTTATAGAAGCTTCTCAGCTTCTAGAGGTCCCATTTATTTATCCGTCTGATGTGGGGTTAGGTGAAGATCTTTTTCCATTCTGTAAACTGTCGTTTTGTCTTTTTCACCATATCCTTAGCATTACAGAAGCTTTTCAGTTTCAGGAGATCCCATTTATTAATTGTTTCTCTCAGTGTCTGTGCTACTGGGGTTATATTTAGGAAGTGGTGTCCGGTACCCATGCATTGAAGGTTACTTCCCACTTTCTCCTCTACCAGGTTCAGTGTTGTGTGATTTATATTGACATCCTTAATCCCTTTTGACTGGAGTTTTGTGCATGGAGACAGACATGGATCTATTTTTATTCTTCTACAGGTTGACATCCAGTTGGCAAGTATCATTTTTGAAGATGCTTTTTTTTAACATTATATCTTTTTTGCATCTTTGTCAAAAATCAGGTATTTGTAAGTATGTAGATTAATATCCGGGTCCTCAATTTGACTCTATTTGTCAACATCTCTGTTTCTTATGCCAATAGCAAGCTGTCTTCATTACTGTAGCTCTGTAATAGAGCTTCATGTCAGGGATGATAATGCCTCCGGTGATCCCTTTATTGTATAGGTTTGTTTTGGCTATGCTGGGTTTTTGGTTTTTCCATATGAAGTTGATTATTGTTCTTTCAAGATCTGTGAAGACGTGTGCTGGGATTTTGATGGTGATTGCATTGAATCCATAGATTGCCTTTGGTAAGATTGCCATTTTTATTATGTTGATCCTTCCTATCCAGAGCATGGGAGATCATTCCATTTTCTGGTATCTTCTCCAATTTCTTTCTTCAAAGACTTAAAGTTCTTATCAAATAGGTCTTTCACATCTTTTGTTAGGATGTGGGGTTAGTGATTTTTTTATTTTATGTGATTTGTAGTTATTGTGATATGTGATGTCTCTCTGATTTCCCTTTCAGCTTCTTTATCCTTTGTGTATAGGAGAGCTACTGATTTCTTTTAGTTGATCTTGTATCCTCTCACTTCACTCAAGGTATTTATCAGCTGTTGGAGTTCTCTGGTAGTGTTTTGGGGGTCAATTATATACACTATCATATCATCAGCAAATAGCAAGAGTTTAACTTCTTTCTTTCCAATTTGAATCCTCTAATGTCTACCAAGTATTGGTCTCCATGGAGCTTGCAGGGAAGGGCGAGTTGGGGGCAGGATGAATTGAAGGCTAACAAGCCAGCTCCCTGCTGGCAGCTCTAATGCCCACCAAGTATTGGTCTCCATGGAGCTTGTAGGGAACAGTGGGTTGGTGTTGGGGAAGATTGATGGCTAGCAAGCCAGCTCCTTGCTGGAAGCTAGGAATGCCACAGGGAACTCTAATGTCTACAAAGTATTGCTCTCCATGTAGCTCGCAAGGGATGGCGGGTTGAGGGCGGGCTTTTAAATGTTTTAGCACTATTGTAAAGGACTTCCCTGGTATCTCATCAAGTCTGCTGAATTTTCAGTTTGGGATAGATGTCAGCAACAAACTTTAGCCCACCCCTACAATTTACAAGGGCAAGCTTGCTTTCCAGGGTCCTGGCAAGGGCTGAAGTGGAGAGGCCCAGGCAGCCAATGTGGCAAAACCAGCTTGAGTGACTTCCATATGCAACATATTGGGCACAAATTTTTGTTTTATCTTAAGTGACTGTACCTTAGTCTACTGCTATTTCAGTCAGCAATTTTGACTCCACAGTTATCATCCAACCTCTCTGACAGTGGCCCAGCTGCTCAGGGAGCAACCTTGTGGAGATTCTGTTCTGGCAGGCATTGGCTCTGCTGCTGCAGCTAAAGATAACTTTAGGTCAATCTTTATCATTCTATTTATAAATCAGATTCAAGATTCAAAGTTTGGGTTGAAAATCTGCTATCTCAGAGAGGTTGAGAAGCACCTAGTTACACTTCTCTCCTCATTGGTACCTTCAAAAGAAAGCCTCATTAGTTGCAGAGAGCAAAAATTATCTCTACTCCAATTCCCTCTCTACAACTTCTGGTGTGCCTATATCTTCCAGATGCGCTCTGATGTTCTGTGATTACTGTATGTCAATTAGTTAATAATTCATCCTACTGACCCAAGATTATGTTTTTAATGACTGCAAATACAGACTTGCGGTTTCCACTGTG